TAGAACCGGAACGCCAGTCCCTGTATCCGTCAAAAGAGGAGCTGTGCGGCGAAAATGTGCTCCCAAGTAGCCCCGGACGATCGTGCCGTGTTACTTTTGCATCGCGTCTCTCCCTTTCTCTCTCTCACTCTTTCTCTCTCCCTCTCTCTCTCTCCCGTCTCTCCCGCCTCGGGGCTCGTATATCATGGAAAGAGTTATGGTTTGCCGTCCCACTGAAATCCACACCTTTCTACTTGTCCTCGCCTCTTTCCTCCCTCTTTTCTCCTTCGAACGAGAGAGCGTGGAAAGGTAAACGAGCGAGGGGATGAAAAAAGGAGAAAAAAAAAAAAAAAAAAGAAAAGCCCCCTTTGTTTTCTACACACGCAACGTGTCCAACTCTCTCTCTCCCGTATGTCTTTCCTCCTCCTCCTTTTCCTCGCTTTCTAAGGTTGAAGGGTAATTAAGACGGACGGCGTCAAAAAAAGGGAGAGAGAGAGAGAGAGAGGAAGAAGAAGGAATACAAAAAGAGAAAGAGGATAACGAGAGAATCCCCGGCGGGCGAGCATCGAATCTCGAGTAACGCAGAGGAGAAGGAAGAGAAGGAGGAAGAGGGGAGGGGGGGGGGGCACAGAGTCGGAGTCGGTCGTTGGTTTTTACGATACGCGCACAGTTCGCAGGCGTGCAGGCGATAAACACCGCCATATTGGACCTGAGGCCGGATTTACGAAAGCGGGAGAGCCTGGTTGTGTTGGGTATATGCGTCACTTGCTGGTTCCTTGCCATACCGATGGTGTTCGACGGCGGTATTTACCTGTTCACGCTGATGGACTGGAACACAGCTTCTTGGGCGATACTATTGATCGGGATTGCCGAGGTCGGCGTTGTAGGCTGGTGTTACGGGTGCAACAAATTCCTGCGTAACATAGCCGAGATGCAAATGCGGTTCAACCTTTCGCTCCGCAGATATTGGTGGCTCAGCTGGGTCGTGCTCGCGCCTATCACTTGTCTGGTAAGTGCAGCAATCCCAACCGTCCTGTATCGTGATTCGATAAACTCGAGTAAACTATGCCCAAGTTATTATTGCCCAACTTATCAGATATCGATGTCAAACCTGTTCCAATAATAGAACAAATGAAGAGAGATGTCGATATTTTATACGCCGCACCGTGTAAACGAGAGCCGATCGCGACGCGTGCCGAGAATATTTTTTCTTTCACGCGCACGAAGATTCTCTCGCGGGATTGGCTCGCTACGTATACCTATATACATTTATATATATATATTTACACCCTCGTTTCTTCCGTAAAATATAATTTTATAGATTCCCACAGCGCGAATATATATATTCGTTTTAATATTTTCCAAATGTTTCAACGAAAATTCAATAATGTTTCTCGACTTACCGATATCGATTCCTATCTTGGATTAAATTTCCCAATAGATACGACGTTACGAAATTTCGGCCAACTTTGAAGATAATAAGCTCGATAACTTTGGCATACGTATACCGTAGTATAGCATCGTGTTATATATAAAGCACATTATATACGTGTATCTGTATCTATCGCGATGTCAACGGCCAATTATATATCGTGTCCTTGTATCCTTTTTATTTTTTTTCTTTATCTCAGAATAAACTTTCCCTTCTCACGTAAACGATAAACTTAACAAGACCTTCCTTTTCTCTCTCTCTCTTTTTCTCTCTTTTCCAGAAATATGAGATAGAGAGATAGAGCGTCTAATTAAACGCGTGCATAATTATACGCGTGCAATTAAGCTTAACCTCTATAAAACTCGGTGGACAATCGTATACGAATCATCCGAGCGATTAAACAAATCCTGTCCGTGGACAGGGAGCTAGTCGCGTTCCGCCTACTCCCCCCTTCCCTTTCGTCCTCTTTTCCCGCAGAGTGCAGCGCCTCACACGGTTAAGACGTTAATCCTTTCTCCTTCAGGCGTGTTTTCACTCACGGTATATTATCGCGGTTTTGCCTCTCGGCCCTCGACCGTTTACCGCGACGCTTGTGCCCCATTATTGATTTTTCCGTTTGTTTTAGACTCTTCCTCATGCTAAATTTTTTCCCTCCTTTCTTCCTTTCTTTCTTTTCTCTTCTCTTTCTCTCTCTTCCTCCGTTCCGCATCTCGTTTGGTAAATGACCTAGCGCGCGATTCGAACCATTGAAAAAAATCGCAGCCTAAATAATTATCGTTCCATTCGTCGTTAACAAATCCAAATATCTGGATTCACTAATTCTCGAACGGGTGAAAGAGTGGAGAGAGAGAGAGAGGGAGTAACGATCATTCACTCACCTCGCCAGAATTTTCATCATTATCGCTCTTCGAGACAGAGTCTCTCGGGCTCAGGCGAGGATTTTTCGGATTTTTTTCTCCACTCGCTCTCTCTCTCTCTCTCTCTCTCTCTCTCTCTC